CACTAGCAAGATCATTGAAAAATACTAGGAATAAACGTCGTTCCAATACCGAGACTTGGGGCAAAACACAGTGGACATCAGTTGGGTCGAAAATGAAGCTGCGGAATCTCATATGTAGCTGACGCTGAATGTGAAGTTCCTTACCCAACAAAGCATAGGGTCACTGAGTCCATAGCTTTGAAGGTTGTGAAAAAGATGCGGTGGTCTAGACGGTTGAATGTTTTCGAGAAGCCAAATGACGTCGACTTCTACTCTGGCATCGACTGATTCTGTCCAGCTTGCTCTTGCTAACAGGATGTTTACAATGCAAGACCGAGTTCTGCCGAATCCATGCTGCTGTACAAGTATGATGTTGTTGGTCTCAAAGTACCCCATGAATACCTCTGCGGTAATACCTACCATTACTTTGGACAGAACTATGTGATGTGTAGTGGAACGGTAGTTCGAGGGCTCCGCATGATTTCCACTGTTGTAAATAGGTGTGACTATACCCTGTTTCCACATTGTTGGAACTTGAATTTCATCAAGACATTGTTGGAAGTAGCGGACTAATGGTCTGGCAACGTTCATGGTGACTGTCTTCAATGTCTTCGGTCTGATGTAGACCAGGCCAGAAGAGCTGTGCACGCACAATGATAATAGTCTTTCATCGTATCTTCTTCCATGAGTGATACGCAGTTTAACCCTAGGGCGGTGGTAGCTGTGTCAAAAGCGCGTACGAGGACAACTCTATGAATAGAGCAGATGAAGTGTTGGCGAAGCACGTTGGCCGCCGGACCATCTGTTGCACCTAGAATTGGGATCCCGCGATGCTCCATCCGGCGCTTGTTGACGCGCCTGTACAGTGTTTCAGAATTGGTACTGTATTTCGTTGCTTAGTTCTATTGGCACCAGAGATTGTTTTTTCAGAGTGGTTTCCTTAGGTTGTGTGAGCATCCCGTGCCTAAATACTCGGACAGGCTTTGTAGGCGCGCCAAGCGGAATCTCTTGAGGCTATGCGTTTTCGAGTTTGGCTCCTCAGAAAGCATTGCGTTTGCTTCGAGTGAAACACAACTTTCCAACGCATTTGCCACTATCCCGGTGAATTTGGTGACAGACCCAATCCAGGAGGCACCGGACGGCTGCTCGGCTAGGAAGGAGCAGTCGGTTTCTTGAATGAAGTTGGTCAGGATATCGTAATGGGTGACGAGGTAGGTTTCATCGTTGTTCGCACTGATGTATTCTGCTCAGCAGCTACATCTTGTGCATTATTGAAAACTATCATGTTTTATACATGAAAGCTGCCTTTTGGCATTTATTTTTTATTTTTTTTGGGAATAGATATTTCATCATTATTTGTGAATCAGACGATGTAATAGCTGCGCATGTCTAGTCGTTACATCACCCAAGATTATATCATACTTCTTATGGTAAGTAAGGTTTTTGTTTCAACATCTTGTTTTTTGTGCTTCAGTCATTGTTTGTGATGGACGTGACTCCCAGAACGTGCATGAAGATCGTGACGTTGCGCGAACACACAGACAAGACCTACAGGGACATAGCAAGTATAGTAGGCGTCAGACCGGCAACCGTCAGCCGTGTGGTCAACAAGAAAAAGGAAACGAGATGCATTTCGCCAAAATGCAAAGGGAAATGTGGTCCAAAGAGGAAAACCACTGCCAGGGATGACGCTTACCTAATACGGGAAAGTGTTAAAGATCCTCGGAAGACTAGTGACGCATTAAAACGTGATTGGGGAGAAGGAATAATCAGTTCTTCAACTTCGCAGGCGACTCCTGGAAGTTGGTCGGATCTATTTATGTTCATGGTCAAGAAGTCAGTATGTTCGGAGGTCATAGGGAGAAAAGGTTCGTGCTTCCCACATTGACCACTTTGTGAAACGCCCACAAAAGCAGATGTTTTGGGGGTTCTTTAGTTATTACGGCGTCGGCGCATTGCATCCAGTCGAGGGCATAATGCGCTCTCCACAATATATAGCAGTTCTCCAGAGAATGGCTGTTCCAGAACTAAAAAAGACATTTCCTGACGGACCTGGCGTATTTCAACATCTTGGGTCCCTGTACCAAACTTGAATTAAAGCTTGAATAAGTTTCTCCTTTGTCGTACAGTCCATGCCACGAAGGCGTTGCTTGCAAATAGACAACCTATTTTCAATGGGGTTTAAAGCTGGTGAATTCCCAGGCCAGTCCAAAATGGTTATTGTTTAGTATTGAAAAACGTCTTGACCATTTTTGATGTTGGCACGGGGCCAGATCCTGTTGAAGAACTGATTTCTATTCCTTTCTCCCCCAAATCACGTTTTAATGCGTCACTAGTCTTCCGAGGATCTTTAACACTTTCCCGTATTAGGTAAGCGTCATCCCTGGCAGTGGTTTTCCTCTTGGACCACATTTCCCTTTGCATTTTGGCGAAATGCATCTCGTTTCCTTTTTCTTGTTGACCACACGGCTGACGGTTGCCGGTCTGACGCCTACTATACTTGCTATGTCCCTGTAGGTCTTGTCTGTGTGTTCGCGCAACGTCACGATCTTCATGCACGTTCTGGGAGTCACGTCCATCACAAACAATGACTGAAGCACAAAAAACAAGATGTTGAAACAAAAACCTTACTACCATAAGAATATGATGTAATCTTGGGTGATGTAACGACTAGACATGCGCAGCTATTACATCGTCTGATTCACAAATAATGATGAAATATCTATTCCCAAAAAAAATAAAAATAAATGCCAAAAAGGCAGCTTTCATGTATAAAAACATGATATTCATAGAAAAGGGACACAATCGTAGTTTGTTTCAATTAATGTGCACAAGGATGTATATCTAAAGAACAGCATTGTGTGACCACTACGAATAAGTGGTGCATGCATGGTCACGGTACCGACCATCAGTTCCTCACGGATGAGCACGAGGTCCAAAACAGATGGTGCGTCACCTGCTCGGAATCGGGTGAGATAGGTGACATTTTTGTGCAGTGGTACAACGGCGATTACACTCAATTCGGTGGTCCTGGCGTATTCGGCACCCACCAAGAATCGCACTTTGACGTATATTTCACCAACCTGTTTACCCTACTATGTTGCCAGCAAAACCGAACCACGGCATACCATCTTGTAGAAAACGGGATGGCATAAATGTTCCACCGGCAACTCAGTGTAGCACTTTGCGCCTACACTAGCGCATCTTGGCACGAAGGATATCCTCGCAACCTTGTAGGCTTAAGGGACGTGAATCAAGAGGAATTGTACTCCACTCCTTTCACCCTACTATTAGGTCACACGCAGCGCTTACCTAGGGGGTTTGTCACAGCAAAAGCCCCAACATTTTTTGACTATGACGATTACACAGCTTGCTATCTCACCACATGCGACAGCTTCAACCCAGAGCACAGAGCTTGCATACCATGGTGGACGAACGCCTTTCTACTTGCACTCACGTGTTTATTCGAACTGACAGCGTGCACCGGACACTGTAACCTCCCTTTTCTGACCCGTACCGTATCTTACGCAGAACCGACATGACGGTGAAACTGAGGCTATCAATATTGACTGACTAACATCTGCATTTCTGGATGACTCTGGTTCTCCGGTGAAACAAGCATCTTCTAGGCCTACGTCATCATGGCCAGCGTCAGAAACTCAGACCAGCCATTCTACTCCAGCGGAACTGACAGCCGCAACCGGCCTCACCTATACACGGCCAGTTGTCGACCTACCACACTGGGTTTTTCTAAGAAGTTTGTTAGCATTTGTTATTTTCAAAAGAGCACGTCTTACACACTTTTATTTCCATTTTTCATGCTCTTACAAAGTATTCAAAACGAGCAAAGCTTTTCAAACTAGCAAATACAAGGTTTAGTAAACTAAAAGGAGCTTTGTACACGCGGTGCATTTACACCACACTTTTCCATATTGTTTTCCGTATACACATCTTCGGTTGGTTGCCACATGGTTGTATATTACACTGGATCTCCGCACCTCAACTCGAAACGCAACGAGCTCCCCGCTCAGCCAGCTACTTGAACATACATGAACTGTCTCCCAAAAACGTTTCTCCATTTGTACACCGTCTGGAGGACACGGGTATGAGCCCGTTAGCATCCGTTTGCCTTAGTGCTCTCCTAACTGCTGCAACAGTGCGAAACATACCAATACAAGTACTACGGCCTCTGTGTGGTGGCGGCGGCTGATAGTCCTCACATATATCGAAGGAGAACCTATACAGTCTCTCCTGGGAGAGGCCGTATAGCACTCCGGCGACAATTCCGTTTTGATTGAGGTCGTTGTGTAAAATGCTAAAGAAAATTACCGCCGCTTTGCAAACTTAGGCGATCGGTGCGGATTGCTGAGCTGCGTGTTGAGTTGGATTGCTTGAGTCTCCCAATGTCGTCGTTTTGGCTCTCAGCTGGTTGCAACGTGCGACGGCTCCATGTGTAGCAGGTTTTTCGTTCTTTCAGCTAGCAACGTCCATGAAAAGTTTTTATGGCTTGGACTACAGGAGCCTTTAACTATAGAAAATAAAAGCTTCCCTGCGAATGATCTGCCTTCTGCAAACGCAACATGGACTCCCATTAAAGGTGTTTTGTACAAGACTGTACTTTGATGATCATACCTTACTGCGGTGTCTCACATTGTCAGGTATAAATGTTGATTTATCCATTTATAGTGCTATAAAGTAAATTTTGTGGGTCTGCTTTTGTGTGACTATAATCGCATGTAGAACGCGAGACTGTCTCTAATCTTTGGTGCGCAGTTAGGCAAATAATTATGGGGTACTTTATACAGTAGTTTCGCAAAATAACACGCACGGATTAATAAGTGTGGTAACATATGAGAATCGGAATTTGCAGCCACGATAGTAGATGTCGCAATGGCGCGTTTTTAATAGTATGCTTGATTATAGTACACGTAAATAAATATATATAGAGGGGTTTTCTTCGTCTCGAGTTCAAACTGGATAGTTTCGGGTACGAAATAGGTTAAAGTACAACTTGGTTAGGCCTACGTTGCCCAAGTTCGCCGGATAATGCCATCTTCGTGCTCACTGTACTCAGAACAGGAGTCGGAGTTGTAATCTACGTCCCCTGTCATGTGGACATCCCGGGTCACATTCGGTCCTGTCGATCCAAGGCTCGCCACACTCGCCTTGTTGGCTAAGGATGCTGTCCTGTGCAATGAAGCCACGACTTTGATGGAAGCTGGATTGAGCTTGTACTTTCTGTCCAGCTGTAGTTAAAAAGTACACAGATGAAATTGGACCAGCAAGTTAACACTAAACCTAAAACGGGTGAGGCTAGCCCCAAATCCAAGTAGAAAATAATATCAGCTGGTATTTTTGCAAGATACTTGACAGATTTACCATCAACTTAGGCACAGGTACGTAGGTTGCATTCTACCCCTTAATGTTGGCTGACTGTCAGGTGGTAACACTTTACATTTCTTTTGATGCACGTATATGAGGCACATTTGTTCAACCGCGGATGAAGATCGCAGAGAAAAATATCGTTTGATCAGCTTTCAACCACCTGAGCTGTGTGCTGGCTAAACTAGCAAGCACTAAGTGACCTAGGTCTCGGTGAGACGGCATGGATGTAGAAATCATAAAGGCGAACAGCGAGAATCATCTGTGTGAATAGATCAGTAGCAGACAATGTTATAATTACCGTCCATTCAACAGCCAAAATTATGTTTTTCGAAGTCTGTGTTCTTTATACTAAGATCCTCAAGTGGTACAAAGTTCTATTTAGAAAATGCAAAGGGTGTTTTGTATCCAAACCCAGCGACATACCTTGAGCGGTTGTCATGTTCCACTAGACGGTAGGGGTTCAGAGGTTCTTTAGGTCTAAAGGTACAGCTAGGGGGCAAAATGACCAACAATTTGCAAAACCCCGTGTAGTGTGAATTTGTCATTATTAGATAGTGAATAGCCGAAGCTCCAACAAGCCAGGATTAAAGTAGATGTTGTGCGCAGTGATTACCCACATTGGCCTAGCACTGTTTGTAGCAGGAATATTTTAAATCTCGCGCAGAACTTAAAAGCGACCACATGTGTGTTATAGAGATGAACTTCATTGTGAGAGTGAGCAATTTTACACGATGACTGACATTCGACAAGCCAGTTTCTCATGCATGTATATTTCCTGTCTGAAGCGCATGCACGAATTATTTTACCTGTGCCTAGGTGTCATTCAATATAACATTTCAGTTGTATCTTCAGTCACTTAGGTGCACCGAAACAATGTCTGGTTTAATTCCGAAACTTTTTATCTGTATGTTTTTGAATGCGTACTAAAGACGGTGGGTACACATAGCATTATAAAATTAGTGCAGTGAAAATCATAAATTGACTAAACTGTGCACACATGCATGCATGTCATTTTGTAATATTTTCACTTCCCGCCACCAAGACAGACGCAGGGTTACCAATACGTCTTTCTGTATTCACAGATTAGGGCCAGCTTGTTTGGTGGCTATGGCCTCAGCGTACCTAAAGTATGAGAGTTCGTTGAGCCGTTGATAACATGGAAAGCACGAACAGAGTTTACACAATGGTTGTCAGTCAACAGGTGATGGGCGATTGACCAGCCAGACTGCATGAAAGTTCATTACGCTTTCTTGGCTGTTGATTCGAGGTGGCGGATGCAGCAATCTGTTAAACGTGTTTACTAGCCTACGCCGGTATGTGCTTCAACCCTTGTCCGCAATTGTCTTGTCATGTCTACGGGTTTTCGACATTACAAACACATGTGTGAGCGGCTGGAAATCGACTGCCAGAATTTAACCGATGGAGTAGAGTCACGATTCGCTGTGTGAATTAGTGCTAGCTCCGCTGCTGCGTATACGCGTGCCATGACAGATTTCAGCCGGCCCTGAAATACTTGACATCCGTCATCTCCTTTGAACAACAGTCGCAGGGTTACTTTCAAGTCCGGTACCGCGGTTGATCTTTGGTCCACTTTCCCGGTAGAAAACAGAGCAAAGAAGGAACATGGGCACCCATTTTCTACGAAGGGGTTAGCTATCAGTCGCATCACTTGTTTCTGTGTGTCTGATGTGAAATATTTTCGGACTAAGGTGAGCAGTCTCCACTAAAGCGTGTTCGTTACCCTTAGGAACAAAGCCATAAAGTACAAGTACTATAACTTTCACGTTGGCTGGCGGAAAATGGGTTTGCGTAATGCAACACCATTTTTGCGCTCAATTATTATGTCAAGAAATAGCAGGCTTGTGTGTTATTCACGTCCCTTTGTCACTCTATTTTTTGACTGATGGTCATAGACTTTGTCGTCCACTTAGGTCAATTGATCCTCAACATCACGAATTACCAACATATCATTTACGTATCGACGGAATTAAATCTTGCGGCACGCTTATGTCAACTTTCCTGGCAAAACTTTCCTCGGTAACTCGCTGAGTTCATGACAGGTCTGTTCAGTTGGCCAGTCGTCAGTAACCCTCAGGTGACACTTGTGAACATTACTTAGCTCCGAAGCAACCCAGAAAGAAGAGCGATGTGTTGGATTGATCTCATTTTCTCATCTGTATGCTGGACTAAACGGTGCGACGGTTACCAATATGCGGATCCTGTTGTAGAATACACAAACTTAAATAACGCAGCGATGTGTCCTGTCATTTAATGAGCGTGTCAACCCAGCTGACTGGTGCCTGTAAACAGTTACGATTTAGTAACCAGCATAACTGCATGACCATGTTCAGTTTACAGTTCAGCCTTGAACCACACTGCGTTAGCCAGGACGGGTGAGTCGACTGTACTGTTATTCCACTTCCCAACAACCACAGATTCAGTTACAGAAAATATAGTCGCTGCGGGATCACCTCACTAGCTGGTGTGCTCCCGTTTTGCTTCGGCACTAAGTAGGTGTGAAATTTTATAGAATTTCTTCAGTCATGATTAATTAATTCATTGATAACTCGCAGTAATAAATATTCCTTCCTTGTTGTTGCAAAAAACTGAAAAAACCTTGAAGTACCACAGTGCGCTGGTGTGCCTCTCCAACGCAACTAGCAATAGTTTCAGCAATGCCATGCCGCAGTGATTACGAAAACATTATCAACGCTCACCTGATGAAGGTATATTGCCAACCATTTCCATCTAGTCATGGCTGTCTCGCGTAACACGGCGTAGATTAGTATGACGGCTGGGAAGACAATTCCAGCGTAAGTAGCCACGGTGAATTCGGAGATGATATTCAAGGCGACCAAAATGCCCACAACAACTGCTTGAATTATGGCAAACACTAAAATGTGCCCACTCGGCAAACCTCGGACACATTCCCAGTCTTCCCAATGCTTTCGCCTTTTCATTAATGCAAGGCATCTCTGAAAAACTTGCAGATCGCGCAGACCCATGAAGCCCATGTATAGGAACATGCCATACAGTGCAGCCAAGGGGATAAACCTCAAAATCGATCCGAGAAACACAGATAGTCCAACGAAGAGGCCAACGAGAATTCCGCTGACGCGTTGTTCGACCGTTCCGATGACTCTGAAATGATGTGCAAAATATTTCACTGATCAAATGTCATATGTAAGACGGTTACACAATACAGTGCACTGTAGTGCTGCCGCACTACTCTCGATAGATGCAGTTAGTTCGATCGATGCATGACTATCGATAATACATCCGGTGAAACGACGTTAGTCGAGCGCTTAGTATCTGATTTGTACAGCCCTTAACTATTAAGTAGGACGTGATGCGCGCTTACTTTCAGCCTAAAATGACAATGTGCGGAAATGTTTTGCTGACAGACTTTTACATCTTATTTGCAAAATGAATAAAATAGGGCAGAGATCGTTACCCTTGGGTCCGAATAAGCAACAAAGTTTAAACATATACTTGCAGCGAGGGGGTAGGTTTAAATATGGATATAGAAGCAAATGAAACCTCAAACTCTCTCCCTCTGTTAGTAGAAGGAGCATCGACTAGCAAATTTTAGTCACTAGATCCCAGAAGCCCAAACATTGTAATAGTCTAGAGTTGAAGAACCAATTACAGTCAAAGATGTCTGAGGCGACCACTCAAGGGGCCAACAAAATGTGGTCGCCTTAGACGGGTGGTCACCATAGACAAGGTCATGCATAGAGATAGTACTCATGGAAAAATCCTTTGGGATGTTTTTGGCTGGTCGTCATGGACATGTTGTCATTATAGCATGTTGGACGGTAGAAGAATCAGTTTTTTAATCTGGACTACATGAAGTGACCCGAGGAGATCTTTTTACTTTTCTCATTTTCATACTTATAGTTTGAATAGCAACTGGCTTATACTGCAACAACCAGTCTCAAGGTAAACCACGGATTGCTTTGCAGGAAACTCAGATCAATATGGGAGGGGCAGTTACTCACTTCTCTTAAGCTGAAAGTGCGAAGCCGTAGTGCCATCATTCTAAGTTGGGATCTAAACAGAAAGGTCATAAAACCCGTAATCGAATCTGGTGCTACTGTACGCAAGTAATTACCGCTGAGTAGATGAGATCTGCATCAGCGTTTGGCGTAACGATCTGTCTGTCTTGAGAATCCGTCGTGCACTTGACGTGCTACACTTAATGCCGCTATATCCATCGACTAAATTTGATGTGAAGCTCTGTCATTTGGAACACTAGGGCCTCATCCAAGTGTTTCTAGTATGGTAAGTTCCCTAGTTGCTTTCGCCCGGACTTGAAGATTGGATGTGGAGTTTAAGGCGAACCACCACACCACTGCGCTCCGTGAACATCGCCTGCTATAACGTTTGGGAATTTCCCCGTCATGCTTCTGTCTGAGCACTCACTGTGGTTTGCACCGCAACACACAGGCATTATTTGAATCATAATTTATTTGTAGCCTGACCTTACGTATTCAATCCGGAGCGGTATCCGAGGAAGATCAGATCTACGCGTTGCTCTCTCCGGACGTTTAACGCAACAACCCGAGACTATCCCTCGGAAGGCAAAGGCTGCTTTCGAACACTTATCGATCACATTTTGGTAGTTGTCAAGAGTTTGAATTACATCAACCAGCCCTATCCAGTGAACGATTGATGTTGTGGCTATCTTCAGTACGTACGTTTCCCGTGTAACAGCGGTGCCAAAGGAGCCAGTGGTATTATACCCCCTGTTCTTGCCCATTGGACCAATTCCGTAACTTACCAGCCAGTTATAACCAAATACTTCGGTCAGAGATCAACCGGTGACGATGTGTAGTGACAGTGTGGAGTACGAACGGCCCAACCCCCAACTGGCATTACTGCCATATGCTGCAAAATCTGAATTCTCAGTGAATATCAAGGACGCGAGAGAAAAGAAAAAGTTTGTTCTATTAAGGCAAAGGAAGGATGTCTTCGCGAATATATTACAGTTGGCCCGCTAGTTTGAGTTAGCTACCATAAACATTTCATCTGGCACTGTGGTAACAGGGGCGCAAAACGGAATCTTGGTATTGTACCTGATGCATGAGCCAATAGATCAACGGAACTCTCGAGCTTGTACAGTGGTTAGATTTCCCTAGGTTTTGGAGCCCATACCGTGGAACACGACATGCAAATTACTTTAGTCAGTTAAGTGGTGTATAACTTACTTAATTCCATCTCTATTAACTTGCTTATGGAAGGTGGAATAATGATTAAGCCAAAGGAATAAGAGAAACATACTCTCGGCAGACAACTTAACTCACCGGTGAGGCATTCCGGGTGCTGGAGCATGGTCCATTTTAACCAAAGCGGCCAGATTGCCCATGGTGCGCACAGTGGCTCCAGATACGAATGGCCATCCAACACAGCCACTTATCAAGGGGAAGATAATCAGCATAAACACTTCATCTATGACGAAAGCGTTGTGTTTGATCGCCTTGTTTTTCATTGCTGTGATCCTAAAAGCCGAGAAATACAGCCCGATATTATACTCATAACTGAGGAAGTAACCAACGCTCAAACGACTTTACTCGTGTTGTAGTTATTAGCAATATCAGAAGCAAGTTTTGATTTCAAATAGCTGCGTATCAATAAAACATAAAGTTACTAAAAGTTTGTGTGAAAAACATATGGCACACAGAAACCTTGAGGTGCACAGTTAAAAAGTTAGGTGCTGAAGTAAGAAAGTACAGGAAAAGTGCAACTGCCACACCTGATAACGCTAAGTTAAATAAAAATTTAATAGTGGTAGAATCGACCAAAATATCGAGTTAAGAAAAATGGGCTGCTTAGAACTGAAATGTAGCAAAGCACATAGAAAAATACTTTTCCCTGAAGGAATTTTGCGACTACTCTTTTATAACGAGGTTCCACAACGCAACTAGATCAAACCAATTCAATGAACACTGTAGACGATTTTGTTAATGTCACTCACCCCATCGCATATGAGCTAAAGAGATGGTTTTCCCGGGGTCTTCCATCAATTCAGATTTGTTTATCACAACTTTTAGGCTTCACCGCGCGTAGATCTCATTCTCGTTCACATTTCTTTATCCTCAACTAATTAGAGGTATTTCAACTTGCTTCACCCCTAGCAGACATGCAGAGGCTGCGGTATAGTCCTGCATTGTTCGAAATATATGCTTGTCGCACTAGTAGGTTGTTGATTATAAATTCATTTGTGTGTGCGCTCGTTCGAACCAGTTTGACGAGCTCTACTCAGTGCTTACCAACTCAAGGGATCTAACCTGTGCGGATTAGACTCTTGCTCCAGTTCCTAGTTTTCGGCATATCCTTTGCCAAATTCCACTTGTGTAACTACATCAAACTGGTTTTCGAAAAAGCTTTTGGTCTCATTCGGAAGAAGAAGCTGAGAGCTCCCAAACTACGCTGCAACCATCCCTGCAAGTTGCAGCATAACATAGGTACAGCCTTTTGCGCCGCTCATCAACTGAGCAGCCCTAAGGACGGTTATCAGCGCTCCATCTGCATCGTCGCTTAAGGCAGGTCGATTAACACACGCTGCTGCTTTGTGTGGGTGTGTGTATTCAACTGCGAGTCGATTGATCGCTGAACCCGACAGCCTGCGCGTTGCGACCTTCATCTGACTCTACCGCCTGACCTTGTTGCGGTTGAACAACTCTCAATTCGTGTGCGTGTTCTGACCTGTTTGTGCGTCACGCCTGGCGCAAAGAACACTCATCAAGGTGAGCGCTTAGATAGGCCGTGCTGTAAACGATAAGAGGGCGACTAGCACGCCAATGGCTCAACCTCGCCTATGTTGCGCAGAGTATTGCAGTAAAGTCCTTAAGATCAGCGTAACCTGTTATAGCTGCATTAGATCGTACTGTCCGCAATGTGTAGGCAAATCCGCCCAAGAAGTGAGAAAGACAAACAAATTTGCTGACACAATTTGGTTTTGCCCAACATGTCAAAGCATTCCAGTTGTCCACCGTTTATCTTAGCTCATGAAAAAGTGCGATCGGATGACTGAGATAATCACGCGTTTTGTAATTACTAAGACTGATCCCACAGAGGTAACTATGGCCACGATAATACCTCACCCAGCCAAAGTAAGCTCCGAATCTAAGCCGAGGAAGGGAGCTAGGCGCTTCAACCGCACTGCAGAGTCTGTGACTCTTAATCGACTGGGACACCTCACTCCCATAAGTGGACAAGCCTCAAAAATGCCTGCTTCCACTTCTCCAACCATAGACGCTTCGCTTGGAGATTCAGCCATGACACCGACAGCTCAGAGCCGAAGTCAATCCGGTGCAAATAACAAGCACGTAATGTACGCATCGACTGTCTCGACGAACACACCGGGAGGGACACACATAGCTCCATCTTCAGTACCGAGCACGCGTGGCGCAAAGCAGCCTTCACCGTCAACTCCAGTGGTGCCTTCTAAACAACCCAAATTGCCGGCAAAACTATAAAGCCAACACTCGATAGACAAAACCACGCTACGTTAACTCCCGTGTGTACCGATGTTCCCGGATCCAAATCTGGCACAATAAAAGGCAAGTTGCAAGGCGATCGCGACCAGTGGAGTTCCATCTGCGCGGCGATTGGTATTCGGGTTGGGCCTGCAATGCTTCAGCGCGTAGCGCGTCACCCGACCTCAGTGCACACTGGTGAACCTCGAATGCTTCGAGTAACACTGGAGTCAGCAGATGAGAGCGAGGCTGTCCTGCTCTCAACAGTTCATCTTCGCGACTCACCGAGCACAGTGCACATATTACCTGATCTACCTTGGAAGAATCGCTCAAAAGAAGCAGTTGAGCAACGCGGCATTCATAATCGGGATAGAAAGAAAACAATATTTGTTCGTGGTGTTCCCGAGCTTCTGCATTCTTCTGATCACGATGCGCAAGCACTTGACCGAGAGTAGTGGTGTTACATCCGTGGGGCACTCTCTGTTGACTATGTTATTGCCAAATCCCTGACAAGAGTTCCGTCATCACCTAACTACAAGGGCTGCGGTCCAAGGCTAATGAAAGTAATATTACACTCTGAGGGAATGACGCAAGTTCTGCTGGATAGCTGGTTAAAGTTTCGAGCTAGGCTGCCAACAGAGATCCGGCTAAAAGCAGCAGGCGAACGACCAAAAGTCGGAAGCAATTCAACGGAACTTGCAAATGCAGCAAATTCCGTATCTGCACAGTCCTGCGGAGAGACCGACACAACCGCGCCCACGGCACACAGGAGGACCGAGCACAGCACCAGTGAAACTTCTGTTCAGGAACGCTTAATAATGCCATGCAACACGACTGAAATACATAAACCAAAAAACGATTAATTGCCGGCCACCTAACGGCCGGCTTAAAGGCGAACACCAGCTTTACATCTATCAATGAACTCCTAACAACAAAAGCCCTGTCTTGCATGTACACAAACGCCCAAGGCTTTTTAAGCAGGTTAGAGAACTCAATGCCTCACATCCGCGGGACCACGTCATGATTACAGAGACATGGTTAAACTCTGAGATAACCGACTCTGAGATCGAATTGCCCGATATGTCACTGCTTCGGACCGATAGAACCGGAAGGGGGGCGGTGTGATCCATTATTATAATACAAACCTCCAATGTGAAGTTATCGACCACCCGGAAATTTGAGCTCCCGATCCGCTTTGGTGCCGCCTATAGTTGCGAAACAAGGACACGTGCCTACTAGCCGTGATTTATCGCCAACCAAACTCAACTTCGGAAATGGACTCAAAACTGAACCACGTTTTCCAGTTTGCTTTGAACAAGTCCTACACCCACATTCCTATCGCGGGAGACTTAAACGTGCATGACATAGAAACGCCGGCAACCGACGGTATGCAGTTTAAAGCCTGCTTGCAAGAGCTTATTGCCAGCCACCCTCTTTACAACCACGTAACCTCTCCCACCAGATTTCGAACGGCTAACAAGCCGTCGATACTGGATATTGTGCTAACTAACGAAGAACTCATGGTTAGCGGGATAGTTACAAGCACACTACTGGGTCGTAGGGATCATGTTACTTTACTCTTTGACTCTATATTTTGTGCGGAGTACCCTGAAAAGGAGGAGGATAAAGTGCATACTGTCACGCACTATAACATGTTGTCTAATCTTGTTAAGGATACATATTGGACTTTCTTAACCGAATGCCCCCCAGATGTTGCCTGGGAAACGTTTACAAGGACGTTTAGTACACTGATAGCGCACTCATCAGAGCAGAAGCCCTTCCAACCAAAAAGGAGCGTAATTCATTTCTGAGGAGCAGGACACGTAAATGTATGTCCCGGAGGGATTTGGCGTGGCGAGATCACCAGGACTGCCCGAATGCCGAAACCTGGACTGCATACGTGACCCATCGTAACTTCTGTGTGAAACTGATCCGCAAAAACAAGGTCACTCATCAGCAGGAGTTAATGAAGTGATTCTGCACGAATCGCAAACTCCTGTACAGGCACGTTAACGGCTTTCGAAAGGTAAAGCGAGGGGTTCCAGCACTAGCCACGGTTGATGGGTGCACGCGATCAGCAATGGAAGCAACTGATCTCTTACGGATTCATTACTCCCGAACTTTCCAGGAGGTAATGAGCACAAACATTCTCCTCATTTCTACTACTCCACCACCTGGTTTAGAAAACATCACCTTCACTGCGGAAGCTGTGTTGAAGAAGTTGTTATGCTTGCGTATGCGCAGTTCTCCCAGAGCTGACAACATCCGACCAAAGGCTCTACAGGCAGTAGCTTGTTATGTAGCAGCACCACTGGCTATTTTCTATCAGCGATGTCTAGATGAGAACCATATTCCATCAGTATGGAAGCGTGGGGTCATTACTCCTATTCACAAAGGAGGTAGCCGCACTGATCCTGCCAACTACCGTCCAATAACACTACTTCCAGTACTATCCAAAGTGATGGAATCAGTCATCGCAGATGCGCTGATGGAATACCTGGAAAGCCACAATTTAATAGCCCCAGAGCAACATGGCTTTTGTCAAAAGCATTCGTGTAATATCAACCTATTAATTGCACGTAATAGCTGGACTGGAGCTGTTGATGATGGAGTAGGGGTCGATGTCATCTACCTGGACTTTTCAAAAGCATTTGATCACTCAGACCATCGAATTCTCCTTCACAAGCTTCGGAAGTACGGCATTTGCGACCCAATCCTGAGTTGCATTGACAATTTTCTACACGAACGACGGCTAGTAGTGAGAGTTCGAGAATCATTGTCTGATGCAATCGATGTGGCGTGTGGAGTACCACAAGACTCGGTTCTTGGACCTCGTCTATTCTTGGTGTTCATTAACGTTTTGGCAAGATCAATTGTTTCCGTTTTCCTATTTTTCGCGGATGATATCAAGACATGTCGAAGGATCAGAGGACTGGAGGACCACGAACGGTTCCAGCGTGATCGTAGTACAATGTCGAACTGGTCAGTTCAAAACGCCCTAGCATTCAACGTAGACAAAT